GAATCCGTCACAGAGAGACTGGCGTCTCTGTCCATAAGCATCTTCGACACAGTTTACCCGGGTTTTGCAGGACCCAGCAAGGGTGGATGGTCCCGCAGGCTGCTGGAAATGCCAGGCTGTCTTAGAGTTGCAGGCCCTTTCACAGCAAGGGTGGTGTTCGTTAGGGAGCTGGGGAAATCCGGGGTGTGGGACAGCCATAGAATCACCACCTCATGGTGCTCAGTGCTCAGAGCTGACACGACGGTATTTCCAGCACCCTGATCCACCCGCACCAGTGTCCCGGGGGAACGGCCCCTCAACAGGCGCTGCTTTTGCTGCTGAGGGTTAGCCTTAGATGCAGAGGGGCGGATGGGGAAAGCCCTCAGACTTCACCTGCTCCTGGAGAAACACACCAGTTCCTTCTTGGCTGCCTGGGGGGATGTTCTTTTGCCACTTCGTTGAACCAGTGAAGGAAGAAAAAAGAGTCTGCTGCCAGGTGAGGTGACACTGAAGTGTGCAGCAGGAAATCTGAACCCAACACCACATCGAATGAGCCTATTATTAGAGGCTCTTGGCAGAGCGAGGGAAAGCAAACGCTAATGGAAAGCAGGTTCTGAGAATAGTCTGAAACTTAGCATTAGCCCCGTTACACGTTCCCTTTTGAGTCCCAGAGGATGATTTGCACGATAAGCTGAGCTTGCTGTTAAAATAGGACTCACGTGGATTTGCATGAGAAAGAACTGGGCAGCGACTGCAAAAATTAACAGCTGTTTAAATAATTCAATGGAGAGGCTGAGGCCGAAGGAAAATTATAGACTCATTGTTAAAGTTTTTAATTGTCCCAACAGCTGTCCCATCACATGGCCTTACTTTGTTGGGCAGTGGAGGCCACTTGAAAGATCGAGTTTAGTCGGTTTACTGAAACCTCCAACATTAAGGAATTGCAATGCTAGATCTTTCAGCAAGGAGGCACTCAGGTAGAAATCAACTCAGGTGGTCAGCCGTGTTGCAGAGCATTAGCCTTGACGGATTTGCTATGCCCAAGCCCCACCTGGGCTTTCAAACTCTTTGTTGCTTTGTTCCGGTTGCACAGCCACAGGCTGTAGGAAGGGAGTTATTAATAAGTGGGTGACACTTGAAATGACTGCTTGTGTTTATCCACTGGACCAGATCTGGCGATTTCTGCTCATCACCTTGGAAACAAACCCACAGGCTGCCGAGACCTCAGGTTTTCCACCTGTGTCCAACTCACTTCTTCCTGGTAATCACTTCTCTTACTAGAAGCCAGGATAGCCATTGAGACCCCATCATATTCATGATAGTGAAACATCCCAGCATTGCGTATTTGGCATTCATTTGAATCCATGTGAAAACCAACACATGGACAGCAGAGGTTGCATCTGGTGGGAGATTTAGGCTCTGGGTGGCTATACTGATTTCCGAATTGTGTATGTTGCATTTGTTTGCTAAACTCTAGACAAATTGCATAATTAATCTAAGGAGACCCCTCATTTCCTCCAGGTTTCTGTTCAAATGTCCCCTCCTCCCAGAAGCCTACCCTGGCCACAAGATCACACTGTGCCTCCCCGCACACCACCCTCATCTCCTTCTCCTAGCACTCATCGCCACTTGAAATATATTTATCCACTTCTTTGTTCTCTCACAAAAGAGTACAGTCCATGAGTGCAAAGGCTTTGTTCTTTTTGTTTATTTTGATACCTTTAGCACCTAGAACAGCATGGGGCCCGTTAACAGGTGCCCAGCAGAAATTTGTGGAATCGACGCAAGCATGGCCAGAGGCTTGCTAAGAGGCATGCTGCCAGCCAGTCTGTATGAGGGCCGTGTTCCCAGGAGCAAGGCCTTTGCAGTTCTTAATTTCTTTTAGCAAACTTTTGTCAAACACTTGGTACTAGATGTTAAAGATTGTCACCCTGTTCTCCCAGGGCTCATAGACTGGTAGAGAATGTAGACATTTCAATCAAATCCACCCTTTAAGATTCAACTCTGGTATCAGCCCCTTCTGGGAGCCCTTCTCGAACATCCCTTCCTCTTGCCTAAACCTGGGTTTAAGCATTGTTCTTACAATTTCCCATAGCATCCTGTGCAGAGCTTGGTCATGGCCCATACTTAAAGCAGACAATTACAGTGCAATGTGCTTTCTGTTTCCTCCTTTCGTGAAGGCTCCTTAAGAGTAAGAACAATACCATACTCATTATTGAGTACAGTGTGCCTGACACATAGATAATACTCAAGAAATGCACGTTATCCCTGCCATTGCCACTGTTACCATATGCATTCATGATCAGTATTTGTATAGCTGTGTGTGGACACATTTAAAAAATGCATCTGTTATTCTAAAGGTATACAGGCTAGGAAGCAGCTCTATATTACATTACATAAGATTCTATGATGTTCTATTCTATAGTGGTGCCCATTTCAGGCACTCTCTGTGTTCTGGGAGATGCAGTGGTTAGTTAGACTGCCATAGAATTTTACATAGAGTTCTTGGGAAACTCCCAGTGTCTCCAGCTGCAAGTTGGAGTCTCTGATTTACTTTAAACATTATTTTCTACGTGCAAATGTCAGGATCTCTCACCAGCCTGGAGTATCTGTTTAATTCCAGGAGGGCAAGTCACAGAAATTCTCTCAATAAATACTTGTGGGTTTCTGACATTTGGATGCTGCCACTTTGATGTGGCTGTTTTGATTCAGGGCTTCGGGGACATTTTGTCACAGCCTAAAAAACAAACCATTAACCGTGTAGCAGTTTTGTACAACTAAGAAATGTGTGCAGCAGGCCTCCAACCACCTGGCCGGGTGGAGTATGTACATTAACCTAATGTTTGTGTGTTTTCACTTCGACACGGCTGTTTTGATGCCTGACGCTTCCATTACATCATCTGGATCTTGCCAGAATGTTTGCTTTAAATACTTGCTAGTCTTCCTTGAATACCATTATGTGCCTGATTCTAATTCCAACGGCAGAAGGGATTCAAATGCGGCAGAAGGCAAGGAGATTAACAATCTCGAGGGGACTGCGGAGTTTTGCCAAGGGCTGGCTGAGGGAATACATCCGCCATTGCCGAACACGTACGACCTCCGTTCTTTGTTCGCCATTTCCCAGTTTAGAGCTTCAGATGACTGGCTGGAGAAATGTTTAAAAATGTAAAAAGATCCCAGTGCAAACATAGAAATATGGTCTATCCGTGTTAAAAAGATCATTTTGATCATTTCCCCCTGCTGTGCTGTAAAAAAGAACTTTCTGTCTGTTCCACTTGGTGATGGGAGGAAGTGGTGCTTATTGCTCACGGATCAGAAAGGCTCTTGTCCGAGTGCTGGCGGCAGCCGTGCCCTATTTTCTTTTTCCAGTGGTCTAAGTGGTCATTTGTGCACACAAATGTCAGGAAAGTAAAAGTTGCCTCAAAAATTAACCAGATGAGTAGAAAATGAGGCCACTGAGGGGAGAGTAAGAAGCTTATATTTTGACCAGTATTTTCATCTGAGTATCTCACCAGACCATACATTATTCCCAATTATAAAACAATTTGGTAGTAAGGATATGAATCAGCTTGTTACGAAAAAGCAAGTAGCTGTCTTTGGGTCCAGGTCTTAACTCTGAGAAAGGAAGTCAGTTTCTTAGGGTCTTGTTGGAATGGCTGTGCAAGTGGGTTGTCCCCTGTACTAACTGACCCCCTTGCCATGAAGTTGACAAGTGTCCTGTGTCTCCTCTTTGTGTTCCTCAGAGAAAGAAACCACCTGTGTCAGGTCCCAGGCTGGCATACTTCTGTTTAATTTTTAGGAGGTCGTAGCTGGCTCTATTTTCTATGCACCACACAGCTAGCAAGTGATGGAGTCAGGAGTTGAAGCCAGGGCTCTTTGATTCTGAACCCCACACTATTCCCATTACAACCAGGATTCCAAACCACAGGCCTGCAAATTGGTGTTAGTTCCAAACACAGGCTTCTCCCGTCTGTGGTGAGGATGTCTGGATAAGGGCAACACCCTCGTGATTTGGAAGGTGCTGGCATACATTCAGAGATGGTAGACTCCCTTTCTAGGTGCCACAGGCTTTTTTCTTCTATCAAATGATGACAATTGTAAATAGCAGCTACAAAAAAGATGTCAAAATAAAACATTGGCAATTTCCAAGCTTTAATTTGGAATTTTATTGGCCTGGAAAAGGAAAAAGCTGGGAAAGGGGCAGTGTACCCACTACCCTGGCAAAGGCTCCACTTGGCAGATGCCCAGGATGGCTTAGGTTCATCTGGGGTTCATCCAGAAAAGGGCTGGGGTGCACCCACAGATGAAGGTGATCAAAATGCTTCTTACAGCCATACTTCTTTGACTCTGAGTGATATTGGCTCTTGGGCAGTTTGGCAGAATCCTAGTAATGCAAGTGACCTTTTGAAAACCACAATAGACTGATTTTTTTTTGACTAGATGAACCATCTTTTCCAAAAGAGAGGCAAAACTCAGATTACCAGCTTTTGCGACCTTTATTTGTCACAGGATGGGGAAGGCTTGAGCTTGGAGGCATTTTAATTTTGATATAACTCAGGCGTGACTCTCCTGAAGAAGTCACCTTTTTGCTGTTGTTACAAGAACAAAAGGGCTCAGGTTTTGGAGCCAGAAATATCTGGATTTGACTCCCCATTTCTTTTAGCTTTTGCAACCCTGGACAAGGCTTAAGTGAAGGCTCTGTGACATAGGACAAGGACAGTTCCCTCCCAGGGGTACCGTGGGGGCAACTCTGGGGAAGACCCTACTGCTGCAGGTGGGCTTCCTCGTCTTTAATGCGAGGGTCCAAGGTACTGGGGATGAACGCACCTGTCACTGTGTCCTGGCATCCTGCTTATAGGTGAACTAGAAATCCGGGTGCCCCGAGTCACTCTTGTTTTTATTTTCCTGCTAATGGGTCCAGATTCCAGCTGTGCCTAGGGAGGCTCCTTCTACCCGAGTCCCTGAAGCTGCACAGGGGAGGCGCCCAGGGTCTCTAATCTCTGGCTTCACTTCTGTTTCAGTGCCAACACTATGCCCAAGCAGGTGGAAGTACGAATGCACGACAGCCACCTCACCTCGGAGGAGCCCAAGCACCGGAATCTGGGCCTGCGCTTGTGCGACAAGCTGGGGAAGAACCTCCTGCTCACGCTGACGGTGTTTGGTAGGTGCCTGACGCCCCCCAGCTCCCATCCCTCTCCTGGCGCTGGGGGAGCTGGTCCTAGCTGCCAGCCCTTCCACCCCACTGGATGCCACACGCTCTGCCTAAGGCCCCGGTTGCCTGGTCATCGCTGCCTCTGTGACAGAATCTCCCCCCATCACCTGCTCTAGCTGTTTGTTCTCCTCCTTTGGGTTCTGGTGGTCCTCAAATTTTATGCTTAGAAGTAAGTTTCCTGTAAGTGTGTTAGCATGCAGATTCCCAGGCCATGCTCACGGAGACTTTGCTTTGGGCCGTCTGAAGGGAGGCCTTGGAATCTGCATCTTAGCAAACCTTATAGGTGATTCCAAAGCAGGTAGTCAGTGGACCGCATTTAGGGAACTACCTGCATCAAGGTAAGACACACGAGTTGCAGAAAACCCCACTAACACGGCTCCTGGGGCCAGACCTTCTCCGGATGTGTCGCTGGATTAGCTGGATTTGCTGGGCACGTTGGCTAACGAGGTCATTGTGGAAGAGGCTTGTGCCGGTGCCTTGGTCTGGTCCAGCTCCAACCTGCACAGCTTCCTCCCCTCCTTCTGGCCTCACCCAGGCTCTGGCTGCTCTTGGGCTGTTGATGCAATCGCAGTCTCAGGTTTTCCGCCAGGGTGTATTGAAAACAGGGCAAGTCGCAGTTTCTTGTAATGACAACCACACCATTTCCTTTCTCAATCCCTCTCTTGCTCTCCAGCTCTCACTTGGGCTACACAGAGGAGTGATGAGCAACTCCTCCTCCCCACCCGCCTGCACGCTCTCCATTCCCCGGCCTGTCCTCTGAGCCAGTCGTCACGACGCCGGAGGCCCAGGGTAGGACCAGCAGCCGCCACGGCTCAGGTCACCTAATAAGAAACCACAGGCATGCTGGGGTTTTTCGAGGGTTTATTCCGTGTAAGCAGATCTCATTCATCACAGGATTTGAGGAAGCTGAACAGTACGATTTTCACCTGTGGAAGAAAGAAAACTCAGGCTTTACTCTTTCCACAACTCCAGAAATTAACACCATAACCCATGTCCCTAGGAACTCTCTCCCTCCCTACGGCCAGTGGCGCTGTGGCCAGACTTGTGTGGTTTCCCCAAGGGCCGGTTATGTCAGCCGCCTGTTTGCAGAGACCTGAAGTTTTCCTGTGGGGCCTTGGAGTCTGTAAAGTGAAGGGTTCCTGCCAGGATCTCTGCCTAAACCCGTTTCCTCCCAAATTACGTAGTTTTAGAGCTTCTCCTTGAGTTCCTATAAGATCAGCCATTTAAAGACTATATATATATAAGGACACAGTAGTCAAGAACAAACCTTGAGGATGAAGCCAAAGAAAGTAAATAGGAAGAGAAAAAAATGGAACTCACACTCATATGGTCAATCCTTTTATCTGGCCTCCAGTTAAAATGAGAAGACATGCATTAAACCCCATGGCACATGGGCAGGCCTGGGCCGGGTGGAGAAGCAACTTCTGGCGCTGTGGGTTATTTCTACTGACACTTCTCGCTCCAGGCGGGCAATATCCTCCAAGAAGTTGGAGTCCAGTGGCTAGGGCCTTGAGAGGGTGCTCCTTGGCCATCCTGGCGCTGCCTTTTAGAATAGTTGGAGGTACGGAATGTTCTCTTGCTAGTCATCAAAATCAGCATCACTTATCTAATGTTGTTCTCGTTACATGTTATTCATCATCTAATAATGCGGAAGGATGAGAAAGGTCAGTGTCACTGAAATCAGTCCTTAGAGCTATTCATTTCACTAGGGCACAATACCAATTCGGAACTTTCCCCATCCTTTTTAGGTGTCATTCTGGGAGCGGTGTGTGGAGGGCTTCTTCGCCTGGCAACTCCCCTCCACCCTGATGTGGTCATGTTAATCTCCTTCCCGGGAGACATACTCATGAGGATGCTAAAAATGCTCATTCTCCCTCTGATCATCTCCAGCTTAATCACAGGTAAGACCACGTTCCTGGTGCCTGGCTAACGTGGGGAATACTCCTGCTTTTGGATTGACTGCAGAATCTCAAGTCAGTTGAGTGAATGTGATCATCTATGTCATTTCACTTCTGAGCCTTGATGTTCCTGTCTCTAAAATGGGGATAATCAACACCAAAGAAAAAAATGCTTATCATCCATTGGTTTCTCTCTCTGACAACCAAAGACAAAAAGGAAACAGGAAACACAGCTTCCTGATACAAGTGTTGATATCTCTAGTGATTTTCATTTTTAATGCACACTTTTCTCAATTTTCTCAATTACACTTCTTTTTAGAAACAGAAAAAGGTAAAACATAGAAAAAGAAACTATCTTTACTGTGTAATTGGGCATAGAGAAAGGTTGGCATTAAAAATAAATGAAATGGTACATATGAAAGCCCTCTGAGTTACTCAAAACAAAGCTCCCTTTAGTATGTGGCATCATGCTCAAATTTTTGGCTAAAAGAATTCATTATTTTATTTGAAAAAATTTTTATCCCCCACTATGGGCTTATCTTGGTAATTCCCTGCTTACCAAATAATATTGCTCAAACAGGGCATCTCGATTGGTGTCATTTAGAGAGTAAGGTCTGAGTGAAGGGTGGGAAGCTGGGCTTTGGTCCATATTTGGGTGCCAACCAGAGAGATGACCTTGAGAAGCTGCCCCTCTGGACTGACCACTTTGTGAAGAAAGTGAAGCTCCAGCAACCCCAAGAGAGTCAGATGCTTCGCCGGGTTGTCACAAAGCCTCAGCGGGTTGACCAGTGACCCCAGTGACCTGAAATGCTGGGACTCAGGATCAGGCACTCAGGGGTTAAGCAGAATCTTATCATTCAGCCCTAGATTGAGTGAAGCTGTGCTTTGCCCTGAATGCTCCTTTCCAAACCAGAAAGAATGTTCTCCAAGCCTGTTTAACAGATTGCACGTTGGCCAACCTGGTGAGGAAACTAGCTCCCGATGGCTAGAATTAGACTTCTGGCTGAAAAGAAAAGTAGGTCATATGTAGGCTGGGTCGCATCAGTAACCTCCTCTCCCATGGCAAAAATTGACGGGTCTCCAGAAAGCGGTTCAATGTCTCCTTCTACTAAAAGCAGGAACTGAAACCAGGAAGTGGACAAATTGAAGAAACCACTGGGAAAAAAACCCAATGGAGGCCGGAGTTTTTGTGACTTGCATGGAATTTCTTCTCACTTCCTCAGTAGAGAGGAGGTGCCCACCGCAGGCAGGGTGCTTTACGGGGTGGTCTCTAATCCCCACGCGAGGCTGGGAACTGTGTGTCTTCCTCACGCTTCAGCTCGGAGAGACGAGAGGGCTGTGCTCACTCCTTACTCTTAGATTATCGATTTCAATTTCTCACAATGTATTCAAAAGACATTTGGAGCATGACATAGAGCTACCAGCTTTTTATTTTCCCAAGTGAGGACATTTTTAAAAAGATAATAAACAAGAAAAAAAAAAACTAGCATATACCAGCACCATCACTTCCTAAAAGAAAGGACACCTAGGAACCAAAAAAGCAAACAGGACACAGTCTCAGAATTAAAAATGGAATATCTTCAACTGTATTTTAACTTGCTATTGCAGACTGACAAAAACAGTTGTCACAGACCGTTTGTAAACTCTGAACGGGGTAATCTCCAGCTCTCCCCAGTTCTCTAGAGTCTTGAAGATGTCCTTTGAAAATGGAATTACAAACTGTGAAACCGACCAAAAATACTCAGTACTGTCGTCCCTCCATATCTGAGGGTCACATATCTGCAGATTCAACCAACTGAAGATGGAACATGTTTGGGGGGTAAAAAAAGAAACCAACCTAGTAAAAAACAATACAACAGTAAAAATAATGTAAATTGAAAAATACAGCATAACAACTATTTACATTGTATTAGGTATTATAAATAATCTAGAGATGACTTAAAGTATATGCGAGGATGTGCATAAGTTATATGCAAATATGCCATTTTATATAAGGGACTCGAGGGGTTCTGGAACCAATCCCCGATGGACAATAGGAGAGACCACAGTAGGAGGTTTAATTAAACATTAATGCATTTGTGTAATATGAAGGCATGGGCTACAGATCCGTAGAGATGGGCCATTAATACAAACATAATAGAATTAATCCAACTGGATTTCTTTCAACAGGGTTGTCAGGCCTGGATGCTAAGGCCAGTGGCCGCCTGGGCACGAGAGCCATGGTGTATTACATGTCCACGACCATCATCGCGGCTGTGCTGGGGGTCATCCTGGTCTTGGCTATCCACCCAGGGAATCCCAAACTCAAGAAGCAGCTGGGGCCCGGGACGAAGAACGATGAAGTGTCCAGCCTGGACGCCTTCCTGGACCTTATTCGAAATCTCTTCCCTGAAAACCTTGTCCAAGCCTGTTTTCAACAGGTAACCCAACATTCTCATGTTCCCTCTTCCCCAATCTTCTAAGTCAGGGATCCTCAAACTACGGACTGTGGGCCACATGTGGCCCACCGAGGACATTTATCTGGCCCACTGGGTGTTTCTGCTGCCGCTGCCTGTCCTGCTTAGCAGCCGACTCGTCCCGGGCCCACAGTGCGCATGTGTGGAATGTGCACCACACTCTCCAACGGTCTGAGGGACAGTGAACTGGCCCCCTGTTTAAAAAGTTTGAGGAGCCCTGTTCTAAGTTATCAAGGTATTAAGTTAGAGACTCTTTCAACAAACCAACTCTAGGTAGCAATTTTCTTAATATTTAATTGCCTTTGTCTAGGCCCACAGGTTGTATGAGTTGGTCTGGGGCAGGATTTGGGGATTGGAGTCGCGTGGTTTTTGCTTTTTTAAACCTTCCCTTTTTTGTTCAGCTCACTTAATATCTTCTTGCTCTGGGATCTTCCCACCCACTCCCTTTTTTCTTATGTCTTCCTTTCCTTTTTGTTCCTGCCTCTGAGCTGTCCACGGGCACATTTTCATCAGCTCTGCCCACAAACCTGCTAGAGTACCCAGCGGTTCTCAAACTTGGCAGTATAGCAAAATCACATGTGGCACTTTTAAAAAATGTGAATACCCTACAGAATCAGAATCTTCTAGATGGATCTGGGGCTTGGGTATTTTTTGAAATTGTGGAAGTAATATATGTAGATTGTGAAAAATTTAAACAGTATAAAAGCACATAAAGTAAAAATCAGAAGCTCCCACTCCCCTTCTCTTGAGCTATTCATTTTGAGAATTTTGTTTCCTCTCATACATTTTCTTTGCCACATATGCATGTGTGCATAATATTTAAAAGAATTCAGCCCAAGGAAATTACATACCATGTTGCACTTGTATTTTCATTTAACAGTGTTTTAGAGTCATCTCTCTCTCTTTTTTTTCAATGACTGCGTAGTATTTCTAAAGGGTAAATTTCTAGAAATGAAAATGTCTGACAAAAAGTTTTATATTTTGCATTTGCTGGATGTTGCAAAATGACACAACAAAAGTTTATAGCAATATATATTCCTACCAACTGCATACATGCATATGTACTTTTTTAAACCTGTGATTTTTAAAAACAGGTGATTCTGTGGAGTGGACCCACCGAGTTAGCTGCCTGTACTCAGTCACTAGCCTGTTTTCTAGCCTCAATGCCAGCTTAGGTTAGAAACACACCGTAGTTCCTACTAGCCCAGGTAGGAACTAAGCTAGAACCAAGGAGCCTCCTTCATGCATTTCCAGGGAATCACAGAAGAATGAACTTGAGAAACAGAAGAAAAGTCTACATTCCCAGCTGCCCCCAAATGCACTTGTCAACCACTGCTGAGCCCAGATTGCTGAGTTGGGATATGTTCTCTGATTCTAAATACCATTTTGGTGGCACCTGTAGCATGATCCTATATTGAAGGAAACTATTCTAGGCAGGGGAAGTTGGATGGGGAATGAGTGGAAACAGGTTATAGAAGGGGGAGCTAGCTGGGCTGCCTCTGTATAAGGTGTTCACCCCACAGCCAGCCTGCTTAGGAAGAGAATTTACTTGCTTTGGAGAGATAGACACAGTTGGGTGCCAAGTCTATTCTTGACATTGTGGAAAGAGTGCTGCGGAACTATAGCTGCTGGAAGCTGAGCTGGTGGGAGATGGGCTGGGGCGAGCATGGGAGGGCCCGAGAAAGGCAGATTTGGGGTCTGTGCCTGGTTATGGCCGTGCTGTGTGTGAAAACGAGATACCTTTAATCTCAGTCCACAAGGCAAGACCAAGAAGCAGGCAGGCTCCCAGAGCTGTTGCTCTGGTATTGGAGTGAGCTTTTGTGGGGTCAGCCATGCTCCCTCTCAGTGACCTCTCTCGTCTGTGGGCAATCTTTGCATAGAGCTGCCCACGGCAGGGGCCACTGTCTGTGACACTGGAATGGGGACCTGAGCCACTCCCTGCCCCACCCTGGCCCCGACCTCACCCCTTCCACTGCCAAAATTCCTCTGAGGGCTGAGCCTTAGTCTCCAATAAGCTCGGGGTCAAGGTCTTTTGGGGTTAGACAACCTGAAGAATAATAGTGTAGAACCCTTTAGCTCAGGGTGAGGGAGGGTGCAGAGCCCTTAAGCCTGACAGAGAGAGCCTTGAAGAGGACTTGAGGAGAGGAGGCCCGTATAAAAGGATGTGGCATTCCCAGACAGAAAGGGTGCCCGAGAGGTGTCGTCTGTGTCCCTAGGTATAGCTGGAAGCGATTTGAAATTACTCTCTCAGGCGGAGGAGGCTTCCTGACCAGAGTTAGAAATAAAGATGTAAAGGGGAAAGAGAGCTGTCCCCAGAGCAGAGGCTGCCTCCCGCAAGGTGGCAGGACCTGCGGTGCCCAAGGCAGAGCCCCTGTGTCCTTGAGAGCAGGGAGTTCTCCTGCTTGCTGTTTAGGGCTGACACTGAACCGGCTCTGAGATTTCCAAGAGAGTAACCGGCTGCGAAGTGTGGCCTGACAGCATTAAATCAAGCCCAGTGATAAAGACCGCACGTGTTCTTTTCTTCCAGAAAATGCAGTGATCTGTGTATGTTCACTGAGCCAGTACTTGCGTGCACGAACAGCTGCCCGACTCCCTGCATTGCACGAGGATGGTACAGGGGATGGGACAGGCAAGACCCCTGCCCCATGGGGCGAGCTTACCTTCGAGGGGAGGGAGCTAGCCCGCCGCAAACATCGGGAAACACACAAGGGACCCAGACAGTGAGAAAGGCAGGGTGAGGGACTGGGTGGTAACTAGGGGAGATGTCAGAGCTGAGACGACAGGGGAGCAGAACGAGCTAAGCCGAGAAGACCTGGGGGCAGAGGCTTCTTGGCAGAGGCACAGATGTGCAGAGGCTCAAAAGTACTTACAGTGTTCGGAGGAAAGGAGGCGGCCCGAGGCCAGTGTGGGGGTGCAGCCAGTGGAGGAAAGTGAAACCCAGCCCAGACAGGACCTGGTGGCCAGGGTCAGATTTGGGTTTCTAAACGAAGAGAGTTTTAGGCAGAAAGATGACTGTTTTTCTATTTTTGAAACAATCTCACAGCTATGGATATAGATAGAGCCTTAGGTAGCTGCTTACCTATAGATTGTACATAAACGAGAAGAAAAGTGGATAGGTCAGTTAGGTGGCTTTTGCAGGGTTTAAGGTGAGACATGATGATGGTGGCTTGTGCACAGGTAGACTGGAGTTGGCACCTGCTGAGGTTTTAATGTTGGTCACCTCCAAATATTCATTCTGAAATATAGTTGCCATTTTAACAGTATTAAAAAGTGGAACCTTTAAGAGGTGAATAGGCCATGGCATCTCATGGGTGGGATTTATGCTGCTATAAAAGGGCAAGTTTGGCACCTTTCGCTCTCGCTTTGCCCTTCGGTCTTCTGCCCATGTGTTGATGCAGCAAGAAGATCCTCACCAGATGCCAGTGCCTTCATCTTGGACTTCCCAGCCTCCAGAACTGCAAAAAAATTAATTTCTGTTCATCATAAATTACCCAGTCTCAGGTACTCTGTTGCAGCAGCACAAAATGGAATAAGACAGCACCCAGATGGAGCTGTCCAACCCAAACAGGTTCTGTGAATACAGAACTCGGGCAGAGAACCAGGCCCGTGTTACAGTGTTCAAGTCTTTTTCGCAGTTCTGGTTACTATTGACATGAGATCTGAGATACAAAAACCTGTGGCACCTGGCCTCCTGCCTGATCCTGCTGCCACCATTATTTTAGGTCCATGAGCATTACTCTTTTTAACCCGAGCTTTGGCTTCTATAGCATTCTATAGCATAGGTCGACAGTCGGTTGACTTGGTTCCCTTTTCTTTCCCGGAAACGTGACTCCATTGTTCACAGACACTTTCCTTCTGATCGCTCCTACATTCTCTCTTAACACCAGTGTTGCCCAGATGAAGGGGCCAGTGAGCTGCCTGTTCTCCCCTCATGCAGCCAGCCCTGGGCTTCCTCTCTCCCTGCACACTTGCACATGGCTGGCTGGAACAGAGAGCACCCTGCCCCACTTCAGAGAATGCTGACCTCCTTCTGCCCCATTACAGAGAGCTGGTCAGTTCACCATTGCTTACTTGTTGGCCCAGCTGCAGTGAAATTGGGTCCATATAGTTTCACATACAGCACAGGCAGTGGAAGGAATTCAATGGAGGTCAGGTCATCTGAGTTGAAGTCCCAATTTTGCCAATAACTCTATGACGTCCGACAAGTCACTTGACTTCCCCGTGCATCCTCTTCCGTGTCTATTCAGGGTTCAGCCATCTGCTACCTACTATGTGCCAGCACTGACATTCTAGGATTCTGCGTTGAGTTTTATTTTAATGCCTTTGGAGGTGGTGTTTTTTTGAGCTCAAATGTGGGTTTTTATAGCACTCTGCATGTAGGGTGCCTGGCACCTTTAAAAATAGGACCGCTGCCACGAACGTCGAGGAATAGTGTGAGAGGTTCCTTGCGAGCCATCTGCACAAAAATGCCTGGGGAACATCGAGCAAGGCTTGGCATCACTGCCCGGAAGGAGCGTGTGTCTTTCCACCTTTCATTTGGATCCGAAATATGAGCAAATGCTCCTGCCATGGCGGCTGCTGGCAGCTGGCACACTTGGTGCCCGGATGGAGATCCCCAGCGCAGCCTGGCTCAAGAAGGACCCCAGACCCCTGTGACGGCAGCCTGTGATGACTGTCCAACAGGAGCCAGGCAGGGAGGGAAACAGGAGGATCGTGCATGGCTCATCTGACCCCTGCCAACGCTCTCTCCTTCCTATTTCTGAGCAGACCCGGGGCCCATCACAAGGGGCTGGGGAACCATCTAACTGGGTCTCACAATTGCGAAGAGCACCCAAGTTAGACGTTTGATGTCATCCCTGAACTACAATCATGAGGCTGAAAGTAAAAGACACCCGTCCCCCAATTTTAAGCGTGTGTCCCCATTATTGGACCACACTTCTTATAATACATTTACAAATTAATTGTATAGACTGTATTTATCTGTCACTAGCACAATTGTAAACCACTGCCTGTGTGTAATAAAACATCACTTTGTTAAACCTCAACATATAGAATATTCCCCAATTTTCATAACCCCGTTTTGGCATTTATTAATTATTGTCAATATATTGGGAACTTTAACATATATGAATGGAAAGGCGTTTTTTGGTTTTTTTTTTTTTTTTTTTTTTTTACCTTTTAGATGGAACTTCAACTTTATGTTTTTCCCACCCTTGCTCCATTAGATTCAAACGGTGACGAAGAAAGTTCTGGTGGCACCTTCGTCAGACGAGGAGTCCAATGCAACCAGCGCAGTGGTCTCTCTGTTGAATGAGACCATGACCGAGGCCTCCGAGGAGACGACCACGGTTATCAAGAAGGGCCTGGAGTTCAAGGACGGCATGAATGTCCTAGGTGGGCGAGCGGGCGGTGGGGGCGCATCTCTCTGGGGGAGGCCCCTGCTCCCTGGAGCACCCCCTGCCCTGCACGCCTTCTCAGGCGACAGTACCGCCACTGTCCTCTGGGGGGAGCAGGAGGCCCTCTCTGGGGAGCGGTCCAGGGTCGCCGGCCTGAGCGCTGAGCGATTGAGGGAGGCGGAGGGGCAGACAGACCACGAGGGGACACGGCAGCCAGGAGGGCTCTAGGTCGCTGGGCACGTTCCCCAACTCTGCGTGGTGTTGGCAAGTCATTTTCTCTGACTCTCCATGTTCTTAAGTGGCACATCCATTGCATTTTTTAAGCATTTTTTTTTAGCTGCTCCTATGTTACCAGTGCTATGAGGGGTGTGGGGGCTAGACCACGGAGCCCTTGCAGTCTGTAAACAAATGCAGTGCCACCGGGATTGTCAGGTGTTGGAGTAGGTGCAAAAGGGCTTTACAGATGATCTTATTTAACTTTCTGGGATCCCAGGGAGCCCTTTCCCTGAGCCCAGCGCCTTCTTAGCATGCCATCCCAGAGTGTGCAGTGGAGCAGCCTGGAATTGGGATCCTGTATGGACCACTTACTGATTATCTGACCTTGGGCAAGTTGCTCCACTCCTCTGAGCCTTGTTTATAAAATGGACATGGGCTTGGCATCTGTTTTGTAGGTTGTTGGATTAAATGAGATTGTGCATACAAAGCACAATTGTCCATGCCATGTGCATAGAGCTATGGTCATTATGAAAGTGGAGGAACAGCTGAGGAGCTCCATAAAAAGCACCCCCAGGGGACAGAGATTTCCCATCCTGCAAGTGGCTCCAGTTTGCTCAGTTTCCTGCCCCCCACCCACAGTGAGTCCACTTCCCTCCATAACCCCATCCACCATCAAAATATCAAAATGGTGTCCCCAAGGCAAGAAATAGGGACATTTGGCCAAGACCCGGGAAGAATGAGGACTCTGGATGGATGATGTTTATCCATCCAAGTGAGATTTCTAAGGGCTCAGGTGATAGCTATTTCGAAATGGATGAGCTCAGTGGTCCTCTCTATCCTTTGTCACCTAAAATACCAATTCTTTTGTCTCCTTAGTTGGGTTGCCAGATAAATACAGGATATCCAGTTAAATTTGAATTTTAGATAAATAACAAATAATTTTTTAGTCTATGTCCCAAATATTGCATGGGACATACTAATACTAAAAAAATAAATTATTTATTGTTGATCTGAACTTCAAAAAGTAATTGAGTGTCCTGTTTGTTGGTTCTTTATTTGGTAACCCCTACTCCTTACCCATCCAGAATGGTGCAGAGAAAAGGTAGAGGGAGCAGCATTGCCCAGCCACTGAGAAGCAGACGCAGATCTTTCTTGTTTGTCCTGAAAGGAAGCAGGTTGCGTAAGTGAGAATGAGGGAGGAGATAAGCCGACCAGGTTGCCAGGCAATGGAAGATCAATAAACATTGTTACTAATCCACCAGTGGGAAGTGAGAGACAGAAGGATGGAAGAGAAAGAAGGAGAGTTCCTCTGAGAAAGAGGTTTTGTGAATATCCTCAGCATTCACCTGTGAGCAGATATCTCTGCCCAGATGTCTGTAACACCCTTTCAGGACCTTCCCAACTCCCACCCGGTCCCTTCTGCTTGGTCATAACTTAAGACTCTACTGTCCTTGTCGTCTTCATACTCAAGAGGAGGTCGAGGCCATGAGTAATGGGGCCAGGGCTTTGGAGTGAATCATTCAAAGACTTTCCTGGTCATTTCCAGAGTCTTGGTGGATTCTGGGATGTCACATGACCTTTGGTCGTCCTGGGAGTTTCAACACAACTCACTACTCTCTCAACTCCAGCGACCAAGTCTAAGAGGGCTTTGTTCACATGAAACACCCCCGTTCCAGTGAGTGATTTCAGTTAGGCAATGTTTACAGAGGGAAATAACCAGCTGAACATGGGTTTCCATCCAAGTGCAGATCAAGGCGCTGGAAAGCCAAGGGAAGTTAGATTGTTGAGAAACTTCCCATTTACAAATCATGGCTGAAATAAGGTTCTTTCCATAATTTTCCAAAGGCAGAGATGGTGGCCTTTCTTTGTTGTTTAGTTTTTCTGTCTTTCTATTTTTTTGGCTTTGGAAAGTCCCCGGGACTAAGCATATAGTAAGCGAGACACAACTGTAGCCCTGGCCTTCTACTTCTGTAAGGACCTGTTTCTCCCCCACAAAACCTCCAGAACCAATTCTAGGCTCCACCTTAATCCAAACTGCTTAAATCAATTCCAATTTCTCTTTAAAAACCTACCTCCTGCGCTCACAGATCCTGCCAGTTTCTGCTGACACCTAGGGGAGCTCTTTCGTTTCAGTTCTTGGGACCTTGAGACCTTGTGTATTTTCCCTTAAAATTTTGTAAATGGAATTAACCAAGTAATCCCAGTATTCTCAGCCATAATATTGAGATTGATTCTTTTTTATTACCCACCTAGCAAAGACTTCCCCATGGGCTTAAAAGAAGGACTTATGAGTAACCCGAAATTGATTTCATACATTACTACAGAACTAGCCCACTATGTCCTGGATCTAATCTTAACCAAGCTTTTAACTTTCCTAGGCCAATAACTCACCTGTGAAGTCATTTGTCAAGTTTTCTGGCCCAGAGCTAAAAAGGGAGATATTAAATACCAGGTATTAACAATCCTGAGCACAAGTGCTAGATTCTTTTTGCTGAAGACAGAAAGGATCCAGCAGAGGGTAGTTAAACAATCTGGGGTGATATGTGCTTGGTATAGACAGGTGAATGGGTTAGGTGACTGGAGAATGAGTAAAGTCACAGGTTCAGAGAAAAAGAACTCACTTTTAAGAGAATCAAATTATAATGCTATGATTTACCTGCTACAAGTCAAGAATACAGGTATAACTAGACACAATAGGAAACCAGATATAATAGGGAAGAAGTGGATTAGTTCTGCCAAACTGGGATAGGGTAGGTGTGGAGAAAAGGTGGGAGGGGGAGGGAAGAGAAGATGGTCTGTACTTCAGAGTCAGAGAAAAAGTCAGGTGGGCAAGCAAAGACCTGTAGCCAAGGGTGTACCAATATTGATTTAGGGGCCGTGAAAGTAGTCAGAATTGGGGCCTCAAGACTGGCAACACTTGGTCATGGGTCAAGGAGCATATTGTGATTGACGCTCAGAAATCCAGGCAGCCCCCAGGTACACAGTGTGCCCCAGTAGTTGCGTGGGCTGGGGGGTGACTCCAGGCCTGAGGCTGAGGTACTGAGAAGGACCAACTGGCACAGAGAGAAGAGAAAAGCCAGGCTTAGCCTTGGAGGAACTGAAGTGTAGGGCAGCTTCCCAGGACCTTGGGCACCGGGGATGGGGCAAAGCCACACAGATATGAGACTCAAGGTTGGGTATTGGAATTAGTCCAAGACTTGGCACAGTCTGATGCTGACATTAGAGGTCAGGATCCTAGCTCCTCAAATGCTTCCTGCCTGGGGTTAGGATTTACCCGGAGGCTGGGGTAGGGATGAACTTAGATAAAAGTCAAAGTTGACAAGTGAAGGAAAAAGAGAGCTGAAAGGCTAGGAACTTCGAGAATCTGACAATGAAGTCCATGTTGTCTTTATGATCCTGAAAAATATAAATAAAATTTAAAAAGAAAGCATTCTTAGCATTCTGACCATTAAAAGAATTATGACAAATTCATAAGTAATAGGTTAAATTCAAACAAACAGAGTAAATTGGAGTTTCCCAACTTGTCTTGGATTTCTTATTGCTTTCCATTTTATTATTTAATATTCCTCTTCCCCCTCATGTTAGGTGTGCAGCAGTAAAAAAAAAAAATCACATTTAGGATTTTCCTAGTGGGAAACATACCAGCCATGTATTAATTTGAGATAACATCAGAACAATCTAGACATAACCTAGCAAAGACTTTATTGGCTAATTGGTCTCTGCTATTCCAATATTGGCTCCAAAGTTCACATGGAAATCCCCAAGTCCCAACAGGCCTTTCCAAGGCTTGTTAATTTGTGTAATGATAGAATCTGCTTACACGTGGTCTCCCATGATTTCATAAGTGAGGGGAGAGAGAAGACAGCACCTTTTAGTTTAGAGTGAAAATGAATTCATTTTCTTCAAGGAACTAACACCGCTTGCAGTTTAACTTGGTCATGTGGAAAATGTTAAATAAAGCCACAATTATCCAGGGAAAAGTTACTTTCAGTGTGAAATAAAATGCTTTTCTCTTTTCATGCCTAATTCATAGGATAACCCACGGCGAGAACATGGCTCCGTAGGTCGGGAATGGTAAAGAATGAGGGGAAAGGAAAATACATACTTTATAATTTCCTTCTGTGTAATGTGATTCACCCAACAGGTCTGATAGGGTTTTTCATTGCTTTTGGCATCGCCATGGGGAAGATGGGCGAGCAGGCCAAGCTGATGGTGGAATTCTTCAACATTTTGAATGAGATCGTAATGAAGTTAGTGATCATGATCATGTGGTAAGTGGGCTTGTTCTTACTTCCTCTTTGTGGGGGTATGAGAAGTCCCTGGGGTCCTCAGGGGATGCTGGAGCCGTCTGAGCAGGAAAGAGTGGGCATGGACTAGTCAAATGGCACTCCAGAAAAACTTTGAGAAAGGGATGAAAATCTCTTTCTTGGTGCTTCCCTTAGAACAGGGGTTAGCAAAGTATGGCCCTTGGGCCAAATCTGATCAGCCATCTGTTTTGTAGGGCCAGCAAGTTAAGAATGGGTTTTATGGTTTTGTGTCTTGTCTTCCTTAGTTCAGGCTGCTATAACAAAGAACCACTGGCTGGATGACTTAAAAACAACAGAAATTTATTTCTCATAGTTCTGGAGGCTGGAAGTCCAAGATCAGGGTGCCGGTATGGTCGGGTTCTGACAAGGGCCTCTTCCAGGTTGCAGATGGCTGACTTCTTATCGTACCTCCAATTGGAAAGAGAGCGAGAGACCTCTCTGGGGTCTTCTTTGGAAGAGCATTGTCCTAGTCCATTTTGGCTGCTGTAAAACAAATACCATAGATCAGGTGACTTATAAACAGTAGAAATTTATTGTTGACCATTCTGGAGGCTGGCAAGTCAAAGATCAAGGCACTAGCAGATTTGGTGTTTGGTGAGGGCCCATTCTTCATAGATGACTCCTTCATGTGTGTCCTCACATGGTAGAGAGGGCAAAAAGGTTCCCTCAAGCCTCTTTTATTGAGATCACTAATTCTAGTAATGAGGGCAGAGCCCCCCTGACCTAATCACCTCCTGGATGGCCCACCTCTTGACACCACTGCACTGGGCAACATATGAATTTGAGGGGGACACAAACGTTCAGTCCATTGCAAGAAATAAAAAACAAAAATCAAAAGAAGAATAATATTCCATGACACATAAAAATTATATAAAATTCATATTCAGTGCCCATAAATCAAATTTAATTGAAATAGAGCCGTACCCATTTGTTTACATATTGCCTGTCACTGATTTCATATTGTAATGGCAAAGTTTGATAGTTGCCACTGAGACTATATAGCCCAAAAAACCTGAAGTATTTACCATCTGGCTCTTTACATTAAAAAAAAATGTTTGCTGATCCCTGCCCTAGAAGAAAAGAAAAAGAGACAAGCTTGGAAAACCAATCAGCAATACCGAAGATGAGCAGTATTAGAGACACAAAGATGAATCCAAGATACCAGGGACATGGCATGACCCAGGGAGTGTGTGGGAACCACTGCTCCAATATTCTGGTGTCCAAAAGCAATGTCTTAGACATGGGTTTCTCATGACTCATATAGAAGAGAAAACAGGCAGTTGTTAGGGCATGCACACAAAAATGAAATTGCAGGGGATGTGCTGGAACTCTAATTGCTCTTGGAAACCTGGTCTCATGCTCGGGTTTTACAGAAGGGAACACTGTGGTCCGGAGACACTAAATTGTGATTCTTTCACCATTATCATGATCATTGCTGTAATAAAAACTCTCATTTATTTATTTCCTTTTACCTGCCAAGAGCCATGAAAGGTGCTTAATATCTATCAAATGTAATCCCAACAACCCTGCAAAGATGGTATTATTATTCCCATTTTATAGAAAATTCAACTGGGGCTCATTGTGGGGAATTAACTTGCTAAGATGATACAGCTAAGAAAAGGAATAGCTGGAGTTTATATTGGTATCAAAATCCTTGATGCATAAGTGATACGCTTTTTTGTTTAAATTGTCTAAGCCTGTGGTCCCCAACCCCCAGGCAGCAGACCACTACCCTTTAGGGCTACCCTGCCATGAGGCTTAGGAGGAGCAGGCAGGGGCACAGCAGGACGGGAGCTGCAGGCAAGTGAACAGAGCTTCATCTGTATTTACACCCCCTCCCCATCACTCTCATCACTGCCTGAGCTCTGCCTCCCCACCCCCCCCACCATGGAAAAATTGACTTTCATGAAACCAGTCCCTGGTGCCAAAAAGGCTGGGGACTGCTGGTCTAAACAATATCATCTCCACTTTATTTTGTGTATGTTTATAGTCAGTGGTTCTAAAATGTAAGGCAGCCCAAGAGAGCATGAGTCCCCACTTCCTCATTAAGGAAAGTGTGTCACCTTCAGTCTCTGGAACCTTCTGGGGTCCCGTATCTATCAGACAGCTTTTTCCATGCATTTGTTTCAGACTCCTAGGATGGTCCCGTTTGTCTGCTTAGAAAAGAATAAAACCACTATCAGACCAAGTCCCATCTGTGCTCTGTTTTCCTTCTGCAGGAACTCTGGGCTGCACGTTGCCCTCTGCATGTCCCCGGCCCGGCCACCTTCTCCCCACTCCTCCTCTGATGTGTTCCCAGCTTTCCCTAGGTGCCTTCCATTGCCTTCCACTGACATTCTAGCTGCTCTTTGTCTTCTCCCTTTCCCTGCCTCTCACCCCACATCATACGGGCAGAAATCTGTTCTTCACTTATCTTTTATCATCACAGAACCAAATGCAGTGATGTGCCTGTAGTCAGTTCTTACTAAAGCTGCGGGAATGAGTGGCATAGCTGAAAGCGCCAGAATTTCTGATCCAGGAGATGTTCCTCAGGATTTCATGAACCATATTTAAGAGACCTGGCTTGTTAAGATCATTGTTTTATGGTGCTTTTAAAACACAGAAAGGATGCTAGTAAAATAATATGTTCTCTTTTATTATTGTACCGATTCTTCAGCTTCCCAGGCAATGTTAGGTTTCTGAATATTTCTTCTGAATGAAGATTTAAGGTAACATAGTGGTGCTGTAAAAAAATATTTTTAAGTCCTTCCGATCCATCTGAGTCTGTTAGGAATTTAATAAATGATAATACATAAAGCAGAATAGGGCTCTTGGTTAAATATTGGGATCTTCCTTGTTTCCTAGAATTTCTAGCAGGATGTTCATCCTTACTGTAACACGTCGCCCATGTTTCTGTAACATGATGCCAACGACGTGGGCAGTGTATCGATTCCTTCCTGGAGTCATTTCTACAAAACTCTTGCAGGAAATGGAATCTTCTAGGAACGATCAGATGAGTCAGTGGGATAAAGTGTAGCCCCCCTTCTCCCAAGGCATGGAGGTTGGTGTGGATGAAGAAGTGTCTTATTCACAGAAAACAAAACTCCTAAAGATTTAGTGTCCTATTCTAGGGGATGAAGAGCCGCTGTGAGGCAGGAATGAGGCCCGTGGAATGATTCCTGACATCTGTTGGTTACCTCATTGAGACAGAGTCAGGAGTGCACTGCATGATGTGAGATGCCAATTCTATACGTTTCTTTCATTTTTTAGTTCTGTGGTCCCCAATCCCTGGGGCCACAGGCTGGTACCAGTCTGTAGCCTGTTAGAAACCGGGCCACACAGCAGTAGGCAAGCGGCTGGTGAGCAAATGGAGCTTCATCTGTATTAACAGCCGCACCCCATCACTCACATCACCGCCTGAGCTCCGCCTCCTGTCAGATCATCAGGGGCATTAGATTCTCATAGGAGCACGAACCCTACTGCAAACTGCACATGTGAGGGATCTAGGTTGCATGCTCCTCATGAGAATCTGATGCCTGATGATCTGAGGTGGAGCTGGGGTGGTGATGCTAGCCCTGGGGAGTGGCTGCAAATACAGATCATCATTAGCAGGGAGGTCTCACTGCACAGTAAATGCAATGTCCTTGAATCATCCCAAAGCCATCCCCCACCACCTGGTCCGTGGAAAAATTGTCTTCCATGAAACCAGTCCCTGATGCCAAAAAAGGTTGGGGACTGCTGCTTTTTTGCTAATGATGTTAACCTGCTAATAAGCAGCTTCTGGGTAAAACAGCCAATCACTCTTTAACTGACCTCTCAAAGCTGAAACAATCGGAATACTTTTGCACTCTTTTCTATGAATAGTAATAATAGCAAAAAAATAACATTTAGGAGATTATAATTATTATTATTGGTAAAGTATAACTTATAATGATTAAATTCTTACTGTATGGTCAGCGCTTTTTCAGTTGCTATACATGTATTACCACATTTATTGTCAAGGAAATTATTATTATTAAATTATAACTGAAATTTACCAAATTCCTATTAAGCTATATGCTTAATATTATTCCAATTACTTTACATGTATTAACTCATATATTCTTCACAATAATACCTAATATAGGTGCTTTTGTTAGCCCATATTCCAGATGAGAAAACTAAGCTCAGAGGTTGACTTGCCCAGTGTTGTGGAGCTGTATGGAGGTGGTAGTGGTATCTGAATCAGTTTCTTTCTCACTTTAGACTGGATTGAATCCATGATGCTCCTACTACAAGGTGTGTGACTTTAGGCAGGTTAGACACTCTACACCCCCACTATCCTCTCTGTAAAATGGGATAATTGTAGAATCCATGTCATAGAGTTGCCACGAGAATTACATAAGATTGTGATCAATAGTCACAGTGCATTTCTTATGTGCTGGGAACTGTCTGAGCATTTTACTTGGATTAGTATGATAGTTATCTGTTATTACCATTGCTATCATTAGTTCTATCTATATCCTTAGCATCTCTGTGTTCTCGAATTCTTCAAGAAGCCTGAAAAACCCTAAATTTGGGGGTGGTTTTCATATCCTCATTCTCTTATAAAGTTCTTTAAAACATTTTTTCAAAATCTGAAAAACTTAAACAGAAAGTAAAACTTTTCATAATCTCACCGCCATAAAAACACAAAGCGAGAAGCAAAATCCCTGCCCACCCTTCCAATTCTCTACTCCAGTAAAGCACCATCCATCCACACTGTTAAAGAAAAAAATCCCATGACACTTGCTGAAGCACGGTAAGGCAGGCTTTATTCAGAAGCGTCACAGTGAGAATAGGGGCTGCAGACAGCAGTGGGATTTTGCAGTGGGGGAGAGAGATCGGGCTCCACTCCAAATACAGCATGAGCAAGTGGGAATTTATAGCCACCGAGTGGGAGGTTGGGGGAGAGGGGGAGTGCTGTGAATGGAAAATTACCAAGAGGAAACATCAGGGGTCAGGGAGTTTCTGGCTAAACCAACCTAACGGGATTCTTGCTTGAGACAGGCCAGGGTGACCCGACATCACTTTGGGGACAGGGGAGGATGAGGAGCCCTATCGGCTATCAAGGGTGATCAGATTTTGAGGGTGGGGATCCCTGCTAAACTGATTTAGCTGGGTTTTTTGTAAAACTGGGTTTTATAAGGAAGTGTCCAGATGGGCCCAGGAGAAGGTTCAGGAGGCTCACTAAAGTTTGATTAAGCAAAGCATCTTTGTCAACCCATCCATCCTTTCATTCAGTGCTAATTCCATTCTGTGCTGGTAATGATTTTAGGCACTAGTGATATAATGGTGAATATGACGGAGAAAGGTTCCTGCCGTGGTGGAGCTTATGATAGGGAGCAAACAGGAATTCAGATGGTAGTCAGTGCCACAGAGACAATAAAACAGGGCCGTGGGGTAGAGAGGGATAGCGCTGGCGTGGGCAGATGATGGCCACATGGCGCTGTCTGGGAAGGTGACTTTGAGGAAGACCTGCAGGGTGAAAGGCAGGCAGCTTGGTGAAGACTTGAGGGGAGAATGTTCCAGGAGGAGGAAACGGCAAACGGAAAGGTTTTTTTAGGTCAGAGCAGAGGTCTGGAGAGGCTGGAGGTGGTTGGTTGGTGAGAGGGCCCTGCAGGCCACCATGATGGGTTGGAGTTTATTTGCTTGCAAAAGGAAGTCCCTGGAGGGGTGATAAGCCTCGAGGTTGTACAAACTGATTTTCACTCTGTCCTGATGAAAACTTCTAATCCACGCATGGTAGCTCTCAGCAAAAGTCACTCTTTGGGCAGCCAGAATACCTATCCCCACGTGGATTGGGAAAAATGGAGATTTGTGTTGCTTACAGAGCCTGAGTACAGACAGCACCTTTAGGCAACTCTGGGGATGTGTTTTTAACTCTGTTGAGAGGCTATTACAATTCTGCCTTCTTTGGGGATCTGTCCCAAACTGGCAAACTGACCTTGCTATTGGACATGTGTGGGACAGAACCAGGGTGGCTTCCCTGCAGGACTGAGGAAGTCCCTCAGCTGATCGCCATTCTAATATCTGTCTCACCATCTGTTCTGGGCCTGCAAGTCCCAAATTAATTACTTCAGTAGATTAAGACCTCAAAGGTCTTGAATAAATTAGAGCTAATGTAAATGGTTTCCAAAAGCTAATCAAGTAACATCTGCATATTGCCAGTTGCAGATAAGATTTTTGTTGTTTGAAATATTGGCTTCCAAACACATCAGAATGATTTGGGGTACTTGTTTAAGATATAAATTCCCCAAGTCAGCTCTGGGAAGTTCTGACTCCATAGGTATGTGGTGAGCCAAGGGAAATTGCGTTGTTGACAGACAGCTGGGGGATTTTGATGCAGGTGGCCCATGAGTGCAGAGACACTAACTGAGTTCTGGGGACTCCTGTGATGTGGCTGAATTTGTGTTTGTGGAGTTGAGACCAGTTCTGGGAGGGGCGTCTTGGTGGGATCTCTGGGCTGGCAAGGGCTGAGGTACAAAGGGGGTAGAGGCTAAAGTGGACAGAGCAGTAAGCAAGACTCAACAGGCTGGTCCTGGATGAATCAGGTGCCTGGAAAACCATGCACAGAACTGAGAGCAGGACCAGTCTAAGAGCAGCATGGCGGCCATTCCCTCTCCCTAACTCTATAGTCACATCCTTCTAATATAGAAACCAACCAACAAGTACTGGGGACCATTTGGCTTCAGAACTCTCAGTGGGGCCCTCAGCTTCTTTATGCACTTTGGTTTGTGTGCTTTATCTCAGGAGCTTTCAGTGGTGAGCATGAATGCTGGGCACTTGCCCTTTATTTTCCATGGAATGCCATTTTCAATGAGATAAGTCATTGATTTGGAAACCCAGGAACTCAGAAGCCTCAGAACTCATGCTTTTCCCAGCTAGCTGAGTGCCCTAGAGGTAAACTGTTACTTCTCTCTAGTTCCTTTGTCTCTGGCCCAAGTGCACCAGGGGGACTGTGTAGCGGGTCTTCCTTGGCAAAGATCCTTGAAAACATTTTCTCTCCATTCTACAAACTGTCCAGAAGAGAAGGAAAATTGAATGGCACCCCAAAACAGCTTGTATTTGTATTTTTCTAGACCTGTTTAATTTTTCTAGACATCTTGGGAAAGAATTAATCTCTTGGTTTATGAAGATAAATGCCTTTTGGCTTTTGGGGAAGGTGCATTATGCTCAGTTATTTACAGTCTCAGTAAACAAAAGTCTGGCCCCTGAGACCACCCTGCTAGTGTGAGATGTTGTGCCCATGGGCACACCAGGAGAATGCAGAACGGCAGGAAAGCTGAGGGTTTCATGACATGACAGCAGGTTTGTCTCAGACGCTCCAGTGTCGAGGGAAGCAGTCCTCGGACACGGCCAGCCTGCGCCCCAGGGAGAGGACGAGGAGAAGCTTCAGGCTCCATGCTCATCTGGGAAGAGAGTAGCTGTGCTGATGTTTTAACTAATTAATGTTTTAACTAATTACTATCGGTTACAAATCAGTTCTTTCAGGCTCAGTTTCCTCTTGAGAGAATATTTTTTCCCTATAAAAACATCTGCAGTTGAGTAGCCCATGAGATGTTCTAGAAAGCCTCACTAACTGAGTCCTGACTCATGAAGCGTGGATGACAAGAGGACATGGGGTATATGTGTGAGAAAGGGACCTACAAGGGATTCCTTTGTTGGGAGTCAGAGAACTAATAATGGCACTGGCAGGGGTGGGGCAAGGGAGTTTTGAGCAGTGTGCACTGTGCGTGTCCACAGCAACCCTGTGAGGTTGGAGTCAGCCTTTCTGAGCCTTGACGTTCTTGCCTGCAAAAATGGGAACAAGCCACTAAGCAAGATCATATAGCTGGTAAGTGACAGGACAAGCTCCATGTCTCACCTAGTTATATACAGGGCTCTCCTCTACTCTGCACATTTTCTCTTTAATCTAGGAAACAAAGACTTGCTCTGGGAACAATTGCAAAAAAAATAGTCTGTTTGGGTGTCCCTCTCATTTTCCTGACTCCCTGACCCCTGTTGGGAGCCTTCTCTGAAGACTGCAGTTTCCCCATAGTCTTTTTCCCAAGTATGTTCAGAATTTTTAGTAAGATATCAAGCTTCCCACAAACACTATCATTTCAGTCAGAAACTGTCACAAGCTGAACAAATTCATGCCCTAGCAACACCACGTTGGATAACAAGGAGGATGTTGCCAAACATGTGAAGAATAGAACAAGACGAGAGAGAAAATGGTTAGCTTTCCCCAAGAGTGAGGACAGAAATAGTTCCCAAGCGCTGTATGAAATAATAGGACACAAATTGCTTGTCTTCAAAGAGCTATGACTTCTCACTAAAGGGAAGTGGTGTGTCTTGGTGAGGAAAATCCCCCAGTTGTGGAGTTTCACAGATCTGAGATTGTTCTTCTCTTATTTCCTGGTTTCGTGGTCTTGGGCTGATTATTTAACTTTTCTAAACCTCAGTTTCCTTATTTGCCAAATAGGAATAATGTGGTAAGAATTAAGTCAGGCATTGAGTGTGCAGCTCTCACCATAGGGCTTGAAGCACAATGAATAATAGTGAGTAGTATTGTCAGAGTAAGCATGGAAAAAATACTTTCGGACTTAGAAGTAATAAAACTACATTTCTCTAAATGTACTTTTTGGCTCAGACTGGTTTTTTATTTTGGCATCTCTCTTTTATTTTAATATATTCTCTATCTTTTAAGGCAAAAACAATGCAAGTCTACAACCCCACTAGTTTATAGCTTTCTGTAAAGCTCAGAAGTTATCTATAAATGTCTAGGCTGGAGCCAAGAACACAGAAATCAAACAAGATTTCCAGAGACATAACAACATATATCCGGTGTCTCTCAGCTTTTAACTTGGTAGTTACTTAAAAGATGGTACAGCTAAAATATGGTACAGCATGTCTTTTTTTTATTCCTAAAACTCACCTTAACAACCAAGTTTGCATTTGGACTTTTCATCAGAGCAGTTACCACCAGATCCATAAAACAGACTTCAGTTAGGGCAGTCAGCCCAAAGTGGAAAATAACAACTTTTGAATCTCATGGCCCTTTCTCAGTAAAAGTCTTTTTGTTAGGAAAAGCGAAGGGTTTTCCTCAGGGCTCAGAGCCTCAGATTTAAGTTCTGAATCGGATAATGATCTCTTCAATACTGTTTTATTTTTTTTCTTTTGTGTTTTTCAGGTACTCTCCCCTGGGTATCGCCTGCCTAATTTGTGGGAAGATCATTGCAATCAAGGACTTGGAAGTGGTTGCTAGGCAACTGGGGATGTACATGGTAACAGTGATTGTGGGCCTCATCATCCATGGGGGCATCTTTCTCCCCCTGATTTACTTTGTAGTGACCAGGAAAAACCCCTTCTCCTTTTTTGCTGGCATTTTCCAAGCTTGGATCACTGCCCTGGGCACCGCTTCCAGGTAGAGAATACAAGAAATCGCCTTTCTCTCTGCTCACTGCTTTGGTCTCTTTGCCACTTCCTATTTCTCAAAACCCTCCCATCACAAAGTTCAATGAGAACACTTTTCACATATCACTAAAATTTGAAAAGGTGAATGCTTGGCTCCTTCTAGGAACTTCTGAGCCTTGTAATAAACATTTTTGCTGGTATGCAACTGTATTGGAAATAGGATCTCATACTAAAATTTCCAGATGCTATTAATTTGCATGCCTAATTTGCCACATATTAGTTTCGTTTTAAATGTTTTCCAAAGGGATGTGATAGGATACTGTTTGATTAAAATCTCGCCTGTGATTTGGAAAATGTTATCCTAAAATATCACTCTATTGAGGTTTTGGCAAATAATTTTTCAAAAGTAGGAGAACCAGCTTGTACAAGATAAATGATACTATAGGTAAGATTTTTTTTTCAAACAAACAGAAGTCAGCCAAGTCTTTGACCTTGGCATGAACCTCTCTAATGGACCCATTCTGCCCCAGGCTCGACATTGATGAAGAGTCAGTTCCTCCTTCATTACCTAGTTCCAATGCCTGGGTAGCCAAGAGGACCCCAGATTTAGGTAGAGAGAAAAATCATTTTTTTTAATATCACCTTGGACTGAAGTTAGTAGAAACAAACCAAAAAGGAAACAAAAAGAACTACATAAGAAATGCCTTAGAATTTAGAATTTTAAAGACGAGAGAGTTTTATTTTAAGCTTGCAATAGTCATGGTCCGTGGTGGCTGAGATCATAAAACAGGTGGCAGGGAGGCTGAGCAGACTCTGGAACCCATAGCTCATGGCTGGGTCCTTGTTGCAGAGCCTATGACCATACCCTCTGCTAGTGAGGTGGTCACTCTGTGACAGGATGGCCAGGCAGTCAAGTTTTCCATAAGTGACCTAACAGACCACTAGTGGTGACCACCTGAGAAGCCAAGTTATATTTCCATTTTGCAGATCAGTGAGAATTTGGTACTGGTAGAAAACAGAGTTTCAGAAAAGGCTGGGATATATACAACCTTGGGGATCTAGATTCTGCATCCAGTTTCCTAAGATGAAGAGAATCACTTCAAAATTTCCTTTTTTTCTTTCTTGGCCCTTTAAATTTCCTATGGCTAAGTATCTCTGTCTAGAAAGATTCTCTCCATTTGAAGAAAAAGTAAATTTTTGTTTTCAAAAATAAAAACAACCTTGTTTAATGTTATTTTTGTTTTCTGGTTATGAGCACAGTATAATATTTGCTCATTGTGGAAAAGTTCAGGCAGTGAATAAAATTTTGAAGAAGTGCACATGAGCTTCACCAGTTAGTTATGCTATCAGCCAGTGATAATTGCTGGTCACCTTTTAATTGATCCTTAATACATCTTTCTAATTCTTGCTATGTATATATATATATTGTTTTATGAACTGCTAATTTTTATTGGTCAACATACCACAAACTTTAGACTATGGACTTTACTACTATGGTTTTTTTAATTTTTTTTTTATTTGGACAGGGTCTCATTATTTTGCCCAGGCTGGTCTCAAACTCCTGGGCTCAAGCTGATCCTCCTGCCTCAGCCTCCTGAGTAGCTGAGATTACAGGCACCCACCACCATACAGCTTAGAGAATTCTTTTTTTTTTTCTTGCTTATTTGTTTTAAAGATAGGGTCTTACTCTGTTGCCCAGGCTGAAGTGCAGTGGTGTGATCATAGCTCACTGTAGCCTTGCACTCTTGGGTTCTATTATTCAAGTGCATAATAAAGCACTGTGTGTGCTACAATACAAACCCACCCCACCCCTCCCCTAGTGATGTACATTTAAGTCATGTCTATTCAAGAGGGCTGTGACCAACATCCTTATAAATACATCTCTGCAAGGTTGTCTGATGACCCCTCCAGAAAAGTGGAATTTCTAAATCAAGTGTACACATCGACGATTTTGAAACACATCACCATCAATAATAAAATGAATAATAAAAATTCATTATTTTATATTCCTACTAACTGGGTTCGAGAGTGTAACTTTACCTACTCGATAGCATTGGATATTATCAATCACTTTAATGTTTTCCAATCTTATTGGTGAAAAATAGTCTCATTGAATTTGCATATCTTTGATTACTAGTGAGGGGCAACATCTTTCTGTGTTCTTATGGACCATCCTTCCCCTTGGCTCTGCCTCACGAATTGTCCATTAACTTGCTCTATTTCCTGTCGGGTGCTCATCCTTTCCCCATGGGTCTTCAAACTCTGTTTGTGTATAAGAATATTAGCTCACAAGTCACATGTTGCAATTAATGCCCCTCTTCATTTGACATTTGTCTTAAAAATTTATAGTGTTTTTCCTTGCAGAAGTTTTCAATTTGTACTTAGTCAAAGCTGTCAATATTTCTTTAGCATGTAAAATTTAGATTTTGCTCATGGATGTATTTTCTTCCCCAGATTATAAAACATTACTTTGTATTTTCTCCCAATGCCTTTATGGTTTTGATTTTTAAACTACTTAAAGAATATTGGCCGGGCGCGGTGGCTCACGCCTGTAATCCTAGCACTCTGGGAGGCCGAGGCGGGCGGATTGCTCAAGGTCAGGAGTTCAAAACCAACCTGAGCGAGACCCCGTCTCTACCATAAAAAAATAGAAAGAAATTAATTGGCCAACTAATATATATATATATAAAAATCAGCCGGGCATGGTGGCTTGTGCCTGTAGTCCCAGCTACTTGGGAGGCTGAGGCAGGAGGATCACTTGAGCCCAGGAGTTTGAGGTTGCTGTGAGCTAGGCTGACGCCACGGCACTCACTCTAGCCTAGGCAAGAAAGCGAGACTCTGTCTCAAAAAAAAAAAAAAAAAAAAAAAAAGAATATTATTATTAATTTTTTTCTTTTGAATGACTAAACCATTATCCTACTACTTTTGTGAGACAAGGTGGATCTTAAAGGGATGTGGATGGCCTGTGTTTTTGTATTTAAATCAAGACAAATGCTTATGTTATCTGACCAAGGTAGCAAATGTTAGACCCATTTCCCTCCTTCAACCTATATTTCATTTGAAAAAAAGGTGGTTTTAATCTTTGGTTAAAATGTGGCTTTTTCCTGGATGTGGAATTTCTTTTTTTTCAAAAGGCTGTGTGGCATGAGTCATGTAAGAATTAATTCAGGGTTTCTTTGCCATGATGGCCATGAGGAAAAAAAAAACGCAAAACCCAGGGACAGCCCACTAAATATCCTTTCTGCCTCCTTGGTCTTTGTAGTGAATGAGGGTGTCAACGGTGGTTGACTGGCTTTTCCCAGTGGTCCCAGAGGCTGGAGGCAGGGAGGGCAGATAGAGGAAGGGAGGCCCGAGGCAGACCTGTTTTCATCCCTCTGACTTCGGGCATGCCATGGAAACTATTCTGGAAAAAAAAAAAGAAGAATCTCAAGTATCTGACAGTTATTATTAGCAACATTTGAATACTGTCATATGGCCATGGAGGCAAGAGCCAAAAAGCAATGTCAAAATGTCAGCCTGTCAACACAAGAAAGCTTGAAATTAAAATGCTCGAGTCCCAGTTTGCATTGATTGAGTATATGCGGATTTTTAAGACACAAAGAAATCCTGTCCAGTAGGGAAATAGAGGATATTTTCATACCTTACCAATCATTTTTTCCAATCTATGTAGTTGTCTAAAGACCTTTTGATGGCATTTTGGAAAAATGAATGTAATAATAAAAATTAATGTATTCCAATGATCCCAGAAGTGTCCTTAGATTCATGCAATCAAGAATCCTGGCCACTGGATGCACAACTGGGCAGTCATCTCACACCAGTCCTGGTGCCCTGGCCACCCTTATAAAGGGCCCCAGGAAAGGGCGGGTAAGAGGAATGAAGGGACACTAACTTCTCATTAAGACAGCTGGGGTGACAATCTGGTCTGAGGATATCCCCTGCATGCAAATGTGGCCAGACCCTAACTTTACCCCAGGTTTATAAGGTTTTAGTAATTAGATACTCCCCATCAATCATTTCTTCTCCTTACCTAAGGCCAAGGAGGTAGCATGATGAGACAGACCCCCCTGGCTTGAAATGACAAAGAATATTCTGGTAAGATGAATCTGGCTCTGCTAAGGTTGTTTTAGGAACTTGCAGGCCAGTGGTTTGATATGATGCAGATTTGGGTGTCTCTAATATTAGAGCTTCTGGTTCCTTGGTTTTGGAGGAGGCCTTGGAATCTGTATTTCATTTGGTTTCCCTGGAGCAGATTGTCTTCTCCCACCCTCTGAGAAACCAAGACCTCTGCTGGGATCTATGTCTTGCCTAGTCACTAATTCTGATCAGTAAAAGAGGGAATCTCTGACTAAGACCATAAGTGCAAGAGAGAAAACACCTCCAAATGCTGTCCACATTGCAGGTTTTCTAATTCACTGTGCTAAGGTTTTAATAGAAAAAAAAAAATGGTTGGACCACAAAGCACTCCCATTGCAGTTTGAGTGTTCTGCATTGCTTTCTACATCACTCAGCTTTGCAGCAAATCCACCCACCCTCTCCTGCACCTCTATCCACATGGAATTAATATTCTGGCCTTAGCAACCCTATCCTCACAGGTCTCCAATTTTAGAAGACATATGAGCATGTCAGGAAATCTGGCCTTCAGGGCAGGGTCATGTGGCCATGAATCCACATCCCACGCCCAGGAGGAATGGGGGTGAAGTCACTTCATATTGTGTCTTTAATTAGCTATGGAGCACATGCTTTTCTGCTCTGTGTTGTTGGAGCAACTGTAAAGTTGGCTGATGATGATATGTCAGGGAGTTGGACTGCCTGTGAGGTTCCCCAGTGAATTGCTCGAAGCTCAGGTTTGTGCCAAAGGGTGCTCAACATGTTTGTTGGTCTCAAAATTAGTAAACCCCGCTCAGGGCAACTCCCAGGGGCTGGATGCAATCCATGTAGTCATTTTGTTGGAAACAGCATTTCTAAGCATGAAATTATAGGTCATTCAAAATTCCTCATTCCATTTCACCGTTGACAGCTGATTCTTTTCTGACACAGTTTTTCTGTTCATTTTGCAACCCAATTTATGTGGACAATCAGATGCACTTCAATATTGAATCCAAGATGGAAACAGCAACCAAAGGAGAAAGAGCTACTGGAAGCTCTGAGTAGACCTCAAAAACCAGAACCACCAAAAATATTTTGCTGCCTGTTAGCATCTTAATAAGATTGAATTTGAGCCTCCAACTCTCTGCTTTTTATTCTGGCTTCAGATATTGCCTTTTTGCATGTCACATTGCTCGATTGGAACAAAAGGAGAAAAACTTTGCAGTGGCATTCCAGTTTGTGCTTTGCTCTGCTTCTCTAGAGTGGACCTGACCTTGTCTCTCTTTGTCTCTTTGTCCCTCAGTGCTGGAACTTTGCCTGTCACCTTCCGTTGCTTGGAAGAAAATCTGGGGATCGACAAGCGTGTGACCAGGTTTGTCCTCCCAGTTGGAGCAACCATCAACATGGATGGCACAGCGCTGTATGAAGCGGTGGCCGCCATCTTTATAGCCCAGATGAATGGTGTCGTCCTGGACGGAGGCCAGATTGTGACTGTGAGGTGAGCGAGGGGACGGTGGGGGAAGCACGGGAACAACCTTCCACCCTACGCCCCCTCCATGCTAACTCCGTGTGGCAGAGGCCACCTGAATTCCAGTTCTCCCGCTGGAAGAATGATGAGGGTAGTAAGAGTGTCGCCGGCAGCCATCGAAAGGAAAAGATCACTATAGAAAGCAGACTTGTGCCAATACCTTCTTGTTTGTATTGTTTATGTCACCTTGCTATGGACATTGGGTATTGTTTGATTTTTAGCAATCTTGTGATGTAGGCAGGCAGCTATTTCTCTGCCCATTTAATAAATGAGGGCACTCAGGTGCTAAGAGGCACGGTAGTTTGTCCAAGACCATAGCACTGGTGATGAGCTTGCAGGGCTGTCCCTGGGGCCAGCATTGGTTGAGTCTGGATCCAGTGTTCTTTCATCAGAATATGCTCCTATGCTTCCTTTGCTATTTTAGGCAGAAATGAAGAAATCCTGGAAGAAAGAGATTCCTCAATATGACATATAACATTTTATTACAAATAAATAGCACATGAGTTTGCTTTGCTAAAGCTATATTTATCTATATGTATTCATCATTAAAAAAATTCAGAAAGAGTATTCTTCCAAGAGATCACTGAAAACACATTGCTTCTCCCTAAATTTAAAGATTATACCTGCTGGCCAGGCCAACTCCTCAGTCTCTTGTTTATAGGTAGAATCATGGAAAAAAATCAGTCTTCAAACTATCCAACGTTGTATTGACATTATAGCATGAAATAAAACAGTTGGCAGTCATCATTTTAATATTATCACTCTCACTCCACAGAGGATCTTTGATTAATCCAGGAGCCAATTTCTAGCTTTCATTAATGTAAAAAGACCAGAATGATCGAGTTATATGGTCTTATTCATGTCATGGCCCTACTCCCAGTGTCTCAATTTCCTCATCTGTAAATGAGGAAGATATTCAGAATTTGGGGCTGTAAATTGGTGGTGTGGGTTGAATCCAGCCGGGTGTTGCTTTGTTTGTCTTACAGTATGTTGCAAAAAATTATCCTCTTATAAGCTAGGTGCCCTTCAGTTCACCACACTCTCCCCTGCTTCCTTTTACTTATGCTTAACCTGTTGCACCTGCTACCCTGCTTGGACTTTTAAGACATTTGAGTTTGTGAACCTTTTTCTTTTTTTTTTGAGACAGTCTCATTCTGTTGCCCTGGGTAGAGTGCAGTGGTGTCAGCCTAACTCACAGCAACCTCAAACTCCTGGGCTCAAGCAATTCTCCTGCCTCAGCCTCCTGAATAGCTTGGACTATAGGCACGCACCACCATGCCCAGCTAATTTTTTTCTATTTTTGGTAGAGACGAGTTCTCGCTATTGCTCAGGCTGGTCTTGAACACCGGCTCTCAAGCGATCCTCCAAACCTCTGCCCCCCAGAGTGCTAGGATTACAGGTGTGAGCCACCATGCCCAGCCAGTGAACCTTGAACTCTATAAGTTTTCTTTCCTCTCTTGGATACCATGAGATCAGGAAACGCTGGGAGTAGGTGGGTCACATTCTGTGTAACAAATGCACTTGCTGTACAAAGAGAATTCTAAAAATTGGAACAGCCAAGACCCAGGTGTTTCACTTTGGGAAGTGAATTAGGTAGATACGGAAAGACACTTTCGGGCTCCATAATGATAATAACTCCACTCGCTTGGTCCCTCTAAGGTGGCAGACTTGTTGTATACATTGCCTTGAGCATGCCCAACAAGCCTGAAGGCATAGTCATGGTCGCCATTTTAAGGAAAGTGAGGCTCAGAGAAGTCATCTGACAAACCCAGGTCTCATGGCTGTGGGTGCCAGGGGCACGAGTCACATCTCTATTCCACGGCCAACCTCTTTCAAATACACATAATTTCTGCTTTCTGACCATGACTCAAAGGAAGACATTAGAATAGTGGTTACTTATTTTTTTCCTTGGCATTAAAGAGGCAGTGTTCTTTGGGTTAAGGCACTAGCCTCTTTTCCCCATTTCAAACCCCAGGCAACACTGTCAACGTCTATATTAGAAATTCCTGTAATAATCTGGTGTCATGGTATTCAACAGTTCATTTTCTGGGAAGCTTTTAGTGGCCTAGGGCCCATTTTAGGAGACTTCTTCTAAGAGGCAGGTTCATTTCAGGTCTGATTTTGCTACATGCTCAGATTATTAAAAAGTCCAAACTGAGGGACTGCCCAGTGTCTGTCACAGTGCTTTTGTGAGATTGTCACTAGACACCACGTCCACCACATGTTCTAGGGGCTGATACTGCCCTAGAATGACACATTAGAGTCTGTGCTTGATCTGCCTAGCTCTGAAGTATTCAACAAGCTCAGAGACATTTTTGTTGGAACACATATTTCTTCTCTGTCCTCATAACTGTTCCAAAAGCCTTAATGAGTATCCCATATGCATCTGAGTTCAGTTCAGCAACTAAGTCAGCAAATAGGGAAAAGAAAAACTTGCCATGTCTAATATACAAACACACACAATATGAAAATATCAAATAATAATCACATGTATTTAATTTGCTAGAATGCATTATCTGAAAAATTTCCTAGAGAATCTCTTGGCAAACCATCTCATGTAGTAGAAAAGGAAACTGGGGCTCAGAGAATAGGTCACACACAGCCACCTAGAGGAAGACCTAAAATTTAGGTTTCCAAGTAGTGATGTATGTTTCCACTTATTAAGGCTTTTCACTTGTGATCCTAGAAATAGCCTAAAAAGTAGGTATTGGGTTCTGTATTTTACAGATGGAGAAAATGAAGCAAGTAAGGTGAAGTAACTTGCCCGAGATCACACTGTTTGTACGTGGTAGAAATGGGATTTGAACCCAGGCCACCTAACTCTGGGTTCTGTACTTCTAACCATACACACACTGCTCCTACTATACTATATTGTTGGGTTGCATATATTAATATATATGTAATATGATCCTCCTATTGTGTCTAGTTCATAGTTGCCTGTCAATAAACATTAGCTACTAGTATTGTTACTATTATTGATGTCCAATGAAATACAACAATACTTCTGGAAGATTAAAGAAAAATGTGTTAGTGACACAGGGAGTACCATGATGTTACTGACAATGGAAAACATGCTTCAAGTCAGAGAGTCGGGCCTTCTAACTATATCTCATAGACATCGTGAGAGACTGCCAACTTTACTTGCTTTAAAATTCACAAATGGAAAGAGCTTCTTAATGAAGCCCTTTGTCAAGCAAAGATGATTTCCAGCCCTCAATTCTTGGCCTTGCTGGCAACCACACTTCCCATCAAGTTCACACTATTAGATGGGAACTTAGACATGGGAGAATGGGCCGGTGACTAAGTGATTAGGATTGTGCATGAATTCTATAAATTTACCTACATAGGGTTTATTTTACATGAACAATGATACTGTTGAGGATTTTCACTTGGCAAAGGACAAGGTTGGCCCGTGGGCAAGTTCAGCCAAGTCCTCTTTCACCGTAGACACCACAAGGGCTGCCTCTGGGAGGACCCACCACAGGCGTGTGTCGTTCACTGTCTGCAATTGGAAAATAGCCACGTCTGGCTTTATGCTGTGCTTCCAAATAAATTCCTCGTCCTCTCCTTTCCCTGCATGCAGGAGAACAGTGATGAGGAATTCTCAGCATGTTCATTAACTCACAGAGTTCTCAGTCTGGGGAGGGATCGGAGCAGCAGGAGCTAGCATGGTGCTGGAATTAGCGGACCAGAGTTCAAATCCCAGAGGACCGTGTTCAAGCCGTGTGACCCTAAGTTTCTCCACCCACCCAATCCATGGTTTCCTCATGGGGCAAGCGAGTGTTATCATAGATGTGCCTTGCAGGATTGCTGTGAGGTTCTGTTCTGAGATCGTGTGTCTAGTACCTTGCACAGGTTCCAGGACCCAGAGGAGTGGAAGGCCAGGCAAAGCAGAGAAGGATGCTGGGACACAGGGGAAGTCCCTGACACGGAGCTGTTGCAGGGCTTAGAATTCCAGACTCCGCCCACGGGAGGGCGAGGGTGTTACTGGGGTGGAGGAACACAGTGGGAAGCCAACTTCCAGGAAGAATTCTCTTTATAGGGTTTTGTCTCACACGACAACGAAAAGATAACCAGATAGTGTGGCCACAGCACAGAGGGACGTGCAAGAGTGACTCATAATAGAGCAACTGATGCTGTAAATAAAACAGTCGAGGCCAAGACTGTTGGAACTTGGGAAGTTCCCTTTCCCTGGTGTTCTGTTTGTCTTGGTCAAATAGCTGAGGATTCCCACCTCCCAGCTCTTGGGGCTTTAGGGAAGTTTTCATTGCAAAGCAGCCCAGCCCTGCCTGGATTTCCCGATGAGAATAACGATTCTCATTTGCTGGGATTGCATGTGCCTGGCCTCCTCTACGTGCTTTTTTATAAGTTCCTGAAAGCTTCTGACTCCCGCATGAAGGAGATGCCATTGTTGTCTCCTTTGTACAGAAGAGAAAATCAAAGTGCAAAGAAGCTAAATTACCTATAGACGTTTGGTTAATAAGTAGCAGAGCTGGAATTTGAACCCAGGCTGTTCAACTGCAGAACTTTCACTGGTAAAAGTACCTCCTGTGACTCAGGTGGATTCAAGGGAAATGGAGTTCTCTGAACTCCGACACCAGCTCCACACTGGCGGGACAAGGGGAGGGCATAGATGGGGTCTGTAGCTCACACCCAGGGGAGGTGTCTATACCAGCACAGGCCTAAATCTGGGAAGGGTAGCAATCTGGAAAAAACAGCTCAAATCACAAGCTCCCCAAGGGCCTTCCTTTCCTCAAATGCAAGACTAGGTAAATTCAGGTCCCTTGCAACCTTAAGACCCCGGGATTCTGTGCTTGGTTATACCGATGGCCTGGATTTGGTTAAAATACTTTGGAAAGCTGTCTCTCAGCACGGAGCCTCAGTGCTTACTTTGGAAACTCTAGAATTTCATAACTGCAAAGATCCACTCTGGGACACCGAGGCGGAAGGGATCGCTTAAGGTCAGGAGTTCGAAACCAGCCTGAGCAAGAGTGAGACCCCTATCTCTACTAAAAAAAAATAGAAAGAAATTAATTTTTATTTATTTAAAAAAAAAAACGTAACTGCAAAGAAAGCAACCTCCTTTTCTTTTCAGCACCCACCAGACCGACTTGGGAATCCATATTTTCAAAAGTATCCTTGCATTTTGATGTGATAGCTTGTATAAATGGCATCCAGAAAAGAGAGGGAAAGAGTCACTGCCCTTTGCCGGACCACAGACACCCCCTGCTCCCTGCCGGTGTCTCAATAAGGCACTTGAACCCCAGATTAATCCTCTCCCGCAGACAAACTTCAGACTAGCGCTCGGTGTGCCCCTGGCATTGCTTGGAAAGAAACTGATGAGACGCTTCAGAAAGAAAGCCTCCATTTCATTATCATTTCTTGGCACCCTCTTTCTGAACAATGCGTTTTCCAGCCCGTGGTGAAACGTCCAGGCATCTGAAGCTTAATGTCATTTGGAATCTGTTGATGTGTTTCCCCTGATGTCCACTCAGTTGGGTCTGGATATTTGCTATTCTGAGTTCTCATGTCAACCTTGGCAATGGGCTTCTCAGACCCTTGCCACGTAGCCCGGGAGTCTCTGGCGCTTGCAGAGACATAGAGGCATCAGCAGAAATGAATGCAGTCTGTTCCCGTGGCAAGATTAAGGGTGATTTTGTTGCTGTTGTTGTTAATATTTCCTTGCCTGCTTTTAAAGCCACACTTACCTTATTTGAGCCCCGAGATGCACTGGGCTGATTGGATATCACGACGAGAATAAGGCTGCGATTCATGAATTTATAAGCTTCCATCACAGCGGAACAGAACCCAAACAGACCTGAGTTCCTGGGTCTTGGAACTTTAGATTTCTCTATTGCTCAGGGGGTGGAGTGGGGAGAGATTTTACAGCTACAAGAAAAATCAGAGTTTAGAATTGCCAGGGATGATCCCTTCTCTTCCCATGACCTGTCCTTTTCTGTTCTCACAGCCTCACGGCCACCCTGGCGAGTGTGGGCGCGGCCAGCATCCCCAGCGCCGGGCTGGTCACCATGCTCCTCATTCTCACGGCCGTGGGCCTGCCGACGGAGGACATCAGCCTGCTGGTGGCTGTGGACTGGCTGCTGTAAGTGCCCAAGGGTGGGGTTCTGCTGGGGGTGGCGAGTGCTGCCTCCCAGGGCTGGGCCGCTGGCAAGGCTGCGGCCAAGACCGTGGCCAGTCCCCATGATGACTCCCTCCCCTCTCCCCTCCTTCCCTCCCTCTCTCGTGTACTGAGCGCCTACTTGGGCAACAAAGAAGAAGATGGATTTTCTGAGGGTCTCGCAGTCTAGTGCAGGAATCAGATAGATTATAATACAAAGTTAAAAGTATAATCATAAGGAACCAACTATTGATCCACACAAGGACTCTCAAAACATTTTTGAACATTGAGTGAGCAAAGGCAGACACTAAGGAATATGTATTGTATGGTTTCCATTTGTGTGAAGCTCTAGGGAAAGACAACAGAATGTAGAGCAATAGAAGGAGATCAGTGGTCGCCTGGAGCCAGGGTTGGAGACTGTGGGGCCTAACTGGGAAGGGACATGAGGAAAACTTTAGGAGAGATGGAAGTGTGCAGTATCCACAGGTGTGCACAGGTAGCCATATTTGTCAAAACTCATCAAACCATGCACTTAAAATGGGTACGTTTTATTGTATATAAATCACACTTCACTAGAGTAGATTAAAAAATAGCACACACATAAAAGCATAGTGGTAGAGAGTGGCTGCATCCCAGACTAGGATGGAAGGGCAGAATGGAGAATCTCAGGAAACAATGGAAATGGTTACCTTGTACTCACAAAGTGCCAGCTACTACACTGAGCACTCTACATCTTTCTCTTAGAACAACCCTCCAAGTCTAGTGTTACCACTCCCACTTTGTATTACCAGATGAGAAAACCGAAGTTTCAATAGGTAAAGTGACTTGGGAATGAGCAGAGTCAACCCTAGGTCTGCGTGGTTTTGGAGCACTCCATGCTCTCGTTCATGGCCATATTCAAGGCTCTAAAGGCAGGATAGCTGAGCTGAATCACCACTGATAGATGGAAGTTACCGAGTATACTCAGGTGGAAGAAGAAATGGGCCATGCCATCCAAGGCCAGCCTGCACGAAGGCTACAGTGTGGGACCTCTGAGTGGTCTAGCATTGCTGGAGACAGGGAGGGTGAAGGGTAGGGCAAGGTGAGCAGCCTTGAAGGCCATGCAGAGAGGCCTGAACTTGACCATGCATGTGTAGCCCAGTTCCCTTTCCCAGGGAAGGACATTATCCTCATGTAAAAGACTCACTGCTCGTCCACAGAGGTGGGCAGGTTTAGCCAGATGGTCTCCAAAAAGAAGGCTGGAAAGGCTGTTCTCTCCCCACGCGGGCTCTGATGTTTTGTGGGATATACAGCGATGCCTCCTGCCTGGTCTTGGAGTTAAATGCTGAGGCCTTGGATGATGCCAGGGACGTCAGCATCAGTGACAAGTGTTGGCATGGAGGGCCATGGCCAAAGTGCTGCCCACACTTTTACTTTTCAACCTGCCTCACGTGCCAGTGGCAAGTTTTCTGAAATTTATTGGCATAGATTTTAAGAAAGAGCCAGAGGCCCCATTTTAGGGCCTTGAGTTTGTTCTTCCTCCCTACCCCCAGCCTTCTAAGGAGAGAACAATGTGAGTGGCTGGAGGGAAGGACATCAGGAAAGGCTAGAAGGAAGCCTGGCCTCTCCCTGAGACAGGCCTGGTGTTGGCGCAGCCAGTGGGGCTTAGGTTAGAGATAAGAGGTGGCCCCTGAGCATGGTCTGTTCAGCTCAGGAGGGCTGTGAGGAAGGTCCTGGATCTTCCTGACTGGCTCTTTCATCATCAGAAAAATGTTCTGGAAATGCCTTTAGCGGGAAGGAGAAGAGCAAACTAAGCAACCTCACGTCTGTCCCTGACAGTGTGTCAGTGGTGAGAGTGGGGTGCTGGGGCCTTTCCCTGCTAGCTTGATCACCTCTGTGCCCCGTGTGGGCCCCAAGGGGCTGCGTTTCCCGTGACATCTGTTTGGAAAGGCAGCTGGGACTGGATGGTGGGGTGTGAGCAGGAAAGTGTAGGAGAGGACGATGGGATGATGGGGACATGGGCATGCAGCAGGATTTGGACAGGGAGGAGGACAAAGGTGAGGAGGACATTGGTGGTGGTCTGAGGACGGAGCCCATCTGAACCGCATAGCTGCCGGCTGATAATCCGCACAAGAGGAAAGATGCAGGAAGCCACCCCAATCCCACCTGCTCCCCTGGGTCCTGATGCTTATTTATACCCACCCCCCTTCTCTAAGTCTTTGCCTTCTGAGCCTCGTCAACTAGTGTTGTCGTTAGGGCCCTGCCTGCTGTGACTACATCATCTAATCTCTTCTTGCATTTATTTCTGAGGCCCAAAACCACCTTTAGAGATTCACCTTTGTAAAAAGTACTATTCCAGAGGCTGGCCCTCATTGTAATACGAGTGCCTTTGAGTGGGGAAAAAAATGCACTGATATAATCAGGAATGGGGAACAGGAGCTGACATTTGGTGAGCACTACGTTAGTGTAATCCTTAGTATGCCCCGCAGCATATGTCGCAGATAAGGATACTGGCTATGAGGAAGGCCCGTCTCCTGCCTGATGTGAGGCAGAGCTTGTGTGGCCAGGCCAGGGCCCTTTATCCCACCCCATGTGGCCCCCTAATTTGTACCAAGCAGTTCTAACCATGGGGAGGATGAGCAGAGAGGTCCAGAGTCAGAAAGACTGGGAAAGACAGATTTATTAGAGTCCCCCCTGGGCTGTGCTTTGAACGTTTGAACCCTCTGAAACTCAGGTTGACATTTAATTGCCATTGTAACAATATTAATAGGTGGGACCTTTAAGAGGTGATTAGGCCATGGGGGCTCCAGCCTTCTGGGTGGGTAGGATTGGTGTCATTATAAAAGGGCGAGTTTGGCCCCTTCTTGCTCTCTCTTTGCCCTTCTGCTTTCCATTATGTGATGATGCAGCAAGAAGGCCCTCACCAGATACCAGCACCTTGATCTTGGACTTCCCAACCTCCAGAACTGTGAGGAAATAAATTTCTGTTCTTTATCAATTCCCCAGTCTCAGGTATTTTGTTATAGCAGCACAAATGGACTAAGATACCTCTGGTTCTACATACTAACTGGAGAATTTTTTGTTTGACCTGTTTTCTTCCTTCCTTCCCAAGATTAAAACAAAACAAACAGCCTAAATGAGGACACATGGGACACAATCAAGGTCTCAGCCAGTCTTAGAATTGAAGTTCTCCAGCCCCAGTAGTTCTGCCATTGTGGGCCCTGGTCTGCTTGGCAGTCATTTCCTTTCAAACCTGTTGGGTGAGCGTCACTTCATGAAACATTCAAAACCCTGCCTACTGCTGACCTAGATGTTAGCGAATGGAATATGAGGGCCAGGTCTTCCCAGATGATCACCCCATGCCAGTGCTCACATGCTCCCACTTGCACAGGAAAACAGGCCATCCTAATTCCAGGGCTGAAACGTGTCAGCATGTGGGAATTGGCTGAATAATAATAAAAAAAAAAGTGATGATACTTTTGGATTAACTACATTGATGAAATCATGTAAGAGAAAACTTTATTCTGGGCTGGAGTTGGAAAGAAAGGAGCAGATGAAGAGCTCTTCTCTAGTTCTGGGGCCCTGGTCCCAGATGGAGGGAGGTGTGGGCTCAAGAGAGAGAAAGGCCAAGAGGCAGGAGCCCTAGGTCTGAGCTCTGCACTTACTATCTGTAGAACTCTGGACAAGTTATTTCACTACATCCTAGGAACAATGACTTACCAGCTTGAAAACTAGAGTCTAGGCCCAATGCCTTTGAGTGCCCTTCCAGTTTTAAGACCTAGAGTAGATTCTGCTGGTGATGGATGTTGTATATAACTAAACGTGAACATTCTTCTAAAAAAAGGAAAGATAGAGGATCCTGGGAAAATGGGGCGTGGATGTCTGTAGCTAGGTCAGATCTGCTTTGAATTAGTAATGGTCCCACATTCTTTCTCACCAGCAAGAGGAGTTTTGGAAACCAGCTCTTGGTCGTGAGCTCCGTGGCTGTCTGGTGCTCATTAGTATGAAAGCTGGGGTGGGTGGTCTGAGTTGAGATGGGAGTGCAGGAGAGATTGGCCATTCCCTAGGAAAGTAGTCCATAAAGGACAAACAAAGAAAAGGAAAAGGGGGGATTTTTTTCTCCTCTCTAGGCAAGGTTTGTAAACTTTCATAACTCTAGCAATTTTTCAATTTAAAACCAAACAAAGCCTGCAGTGACATTTAACATGTCATGATGTTTGCCAACTGCTGAAGACCAGCCAGCCTCATTACTGCCTGCTAAGCCCTGGATACTCTTCAACAGGCAGGCTTAGCCCTGTAAATGTCATGGTGAAGACCAAGATTCTGGAGTTCTGAAAAGTGCCCAAATCCTATAACAGTGGATGGGCGAGATGGATCAACAAAAGCACCTGCTCCCAGGTCCAAGAAGCCCTTTGTGTCAGGAACCCTTGATAGGTATTTATGAGACCTCACTGACACCCCACCCTCTCTGAAGGCGGCAGGATGGAGTGAAAATTGGGCACCAGTAGCAGGAAGAGGAAATAAATAACTAGGTCTGCCTATAGTGGGAAAAGGAAAGTCAAAATAAAGTGAAACCTAAGTGGACCTATGGCTCGCTTGTCACATAAGACTCTGCTGGTGAGATCTTTTCTGGGCTCACATGTGCTAATCGAGGGATATAGTTGAGGTGGCACTTATAAGGAAGACCTTAAAGAGCCTCTGCCCTGCAGGAGGGCTCTGTAGCTCCCCCACTGGCATCCTTCTTTGGAGGGAATAGAGCATTAGTTCTCAAACTTGAGCATGCCCCAAAATCTCTTGGAGATTTAGGAAGTCTGGGTTGGGGCTGAAGAGCTGGCATTTCTAACAAGTCCCTGGGTGATGCTGATGGCGCAGTCTCCAGGGCCCCCACTTCCAGAAGCAGTGGACTCGAGACAGGGAAAGACAGCAGGATTTTCTGACTGTATGTATATGAGTGCCTCTACTCTGTTTTGAGTAACGGTTGATAGCTCATGCATTCATCCAGCAAA